TGAAAATTCCTAAAAAATTTAGCACTGTAATTTTTTTTATCTAATTAAATCAAATGTGTATATTATTTAATTTAAAACTAATTGTATTATATATTTTGGATCTATAGTTTTTAAAATTTAATGGTTCATATTTAGAACGTAAAAGTCAAATGATCAAATTTATATTTAAGATACATTTCTTCATAATCGTGCACCCATCTAGTCGAAATCTTGGATACGCCTCTGAATATATACGTTGTTAAAAGGATATAGAAAATACCACATAAAAAGAGTGAAAATGTGCGGCAACGCCGAATATAAATAAAAGTGAAAAAAAGATCTTCTATTAGAATTCGAATATGTAAACTTATCTATGGACTAAATTTTAATATTCACGTGAATCAATAAAGTAACATCACATATTTAATTAAAGTTCCGGATATGTCCTCATAAATTTTCTAAAAATAAGCATTCTAACCCAAAATCAATGACAGTAAAAATGTAATAAATACAAATAAAATAAATTTGAACTATTTTCAATATATTTAAAATATTTTTGACTGAATTGAGAAAGAAAAACACAAATATAAAATGTGCTCTGTAAAAAGGGAGATAAAAAGATATGAAGTTTTAGGAAAATAGAAAGAATACGATTTGATGATTTCTCTTTAAAATGACTATTAACTTTGACTAAAGTTTTAAGAATCAGATAAAATGGACTTTGAAGTCATGATATTTAGATTTTGTCAAAAACATTGACTTGCTTCATTCATTTGTAACGGTAAATTGCAATTTTTTGTTTTTCCTTTATTCTCTGCTTTCATTTTATTCAACCTTTCAATTTTCATAAATTACGCTAAGAAATATTACAATATATCCCGTATTCAATTCTAATTTTTTTTCTTCGTGTATTTATTCTCCTAAAATTTAAAAATACATGTTAGTTGGTTATAATTTAATATTTTTTTTAATAGTAAGATTTTGTAAGACACAAATAGACATATATACATCATTGTAGATTACGTAACAATACACATGTTTAAATATTAAGTTGGTTCTTATTGATCATAGCTTTGTAAATCTTTTCAATTAAATCAATTGTTATCAAAATTGTTTTATAAGTATTTAAAAATAAAATTAAGACTTCACTTTATTGAATATGATAATTAGAATATCTTCTCTTTTTTTTTACTTTTACAAACATTTCATAGTACTTTTAATTACAAAGTTAGATCTAAATCATCAATATTGTAGTTAGTGTTACTTTTATAAGACATTTAAAGTAAAGATAATGTCTTTTAAAATTTAACTATTTGATAATATAATTAGTTTAAACTTGCAATGTCTAAGAAGATATTTTTAAAAATTGAAGATAATCTTACAAAGACAATATTAAAACATGATTGATTCAAACTGAAGTGAATTAGACAAATTAAGAAGAAGGAAATAACTTCAAATTTAATTACATATGACATTTAATTATAATTGCATTAATTTTATATTTTAGAAAATAATATTTTTTTAAAAATATGTACATAATGTTTAACAAAGTATTGCCAATTAATTATTAAGGAAATTTCTATAAATACATAAGTAAATATATTTTTATATATAACATTGAAAAAATTTAGAACTCTTATTTTTTTAAAGCCTAAATCCACTTTAGATTTAGAGACGAAGTAGTAATGATGAGTAACATGGGCGGAGCTACATTATGGTCACGGGGTTCGAACCCCTTCAGCAGAAAATTATATTATTTATATACGATTAATATAATTTTTAATGTATACATAATAGATGTGAACTCCCTTTGAAAACTCTTATGTCTACTTCTTTAAATTTTGAACCACTTAGTGAAAAATTGACTCTGCCACTGATGAGTAATATAGAAAGTATAATACAAAATTTAGTAATGCATCATTATAATGTTGAGACAAACTAGTACATGAGATATGGTTTAAATCATATGTTTACATTTAAGCAAAATAATAGTATGTGTTTTTATTATTATGATATGAAGGTTAATCTTTTCTTTGGGTGTTTAATTTATATATTATTAATACTCTATGTTTCTTCTTTCACACTATAAGTTATATAAATTAATATATAAATTCACTCTAACTTACACATGCATTAAAAATTATGAGAACAAAGTATCAAGTAGATATTACTTACAATGATAAAAAAAAAATACAATAAAACACAGAAGATCACGATAATCAAACAATAGTTTGGTTGGAAAATTAGAGAAGTTAAACTCCACATAAATTTTGTACATTATTTCATATAAATTTTAGCTTCATTATTTACCCCCCACAAAGCCTTCTTTGCAATGTTTGATATTTTTCTTCTTTTGTATAATTAATTTCCGCATAAATTCTATGTGATTGAATGTAAAGATTTAAATAAGATTTATTTAATAGTATAAATATTGAAATTACTAAATAGCAAAAATAACTCTTCGTGTATATCAATATTATTTTGCTAGAAAATAACTTTTTTAAACTACTCACTGAATAACTAATTATTGCACAATTAATTATTTGATTAAACTGTTCCAAATTTGATGAACATATTTAATTTTCAGCAGAGTAAGAAAAATGCAGGCGATTCTTTTATTTATTTATAATGACAAACAAAGATAATTAATATTTATGTTGTTATGAGATATCAAATACTAGAAATGGAGAGAATTGTGTGCAAACATGTTCAAATACTATAATTATAAAAAAGTAATTTAAAAAAAGTTTTAAAATGTCATAATATAGTGGAAGTGACTAAAATTGTTCTCTAGTGGGAGTATTTCACCCTTAACTAGAGGTCTCGAGTTCGAGCCCTGGATATGGAGAAAATTATGTTGGGTGCGCCACCCTCGAATGGGCCCTGCGGAGCGCGATCCGAATTTAGTCGGAGCTCCAATGTGGACTCCGGGCACCGGGTGGAAAACAAAAAAAAAAGACTAAAATTTGTTCTCTACTACCATTGTTCTCAATATTTATTTTCTGACTAAAAACACACTTCTTTCATCGATTAAATTTCACTTGCCCTTAACATTATATTTCGATTTGAAATACCCTTATTTTTAACAAATTATTATGATATAATATCTATATATATATATCGGGCCTTAATTAATGCAATACTGATTTACTAGTCCTTAATTAATGCAATATTGATTTGCTAGTCCATGTAGCCACTTTAATAAGTAACACAATCCATTAAAGTTTAGCCGAAAATAAACTTAAAAAATATTTGAATTAAACATTAGTTGATTTAGCTTCATTGGGCTCGAAACTATTCAGTTCGACAATTAATTTACTTCAAATGAAAAATTTGAAGAATTATAACTAATTTACGTATTAACTCAAGAATTCAAGAAAACTTTATGACTATAATTCAATTTTTTTGTGGAGTCCATGTAAAATGATGTTTTGAACCCAAAATTATGTCAAAATTCCATACTCAAAATACCAATTGACCTCACGTTAAATTTTTGGAGATAAAATATCAACTCGTCTGATAATTGCTTGATAATTACTGTCCATAGTTTCTAATAGAAAATAATTCAAGAAATAAATTTTAGAATTAATCGATTTAATAAGCTTTTCAATATAAGAAAATGATCAAAGTCAAATAACAAAGTTCAGATTTTTTCCTAACCTATTTTTTGATGTTCCACATTTTATAATTATATGAATTTAATAGACAATAGCGTCTTCATCCTTTGAAGTTGCAATTTTAGTTCAAAATTATTGCAAACTTCAATTAATTTTAGATCTAGGTTCAACTCAACATGTTTATCCTTTAATGTAATATTAGTGGAATCTTTAAAATTCAGTTCAAATAATTATCAAACAAATACATTCGATAAATTCAAATTATTTATAAGTTGAATTTAATATTCATAAATCAATATCACATGTTTAAAGGAAAAAGGTCCAAAATATATTCGAACTTTGACCGAAATTGTTGTAACAATATAGAATTTGGAAATGACCTTTTACCCCCTGCACTATTTAAAAGTGTATTTTAAAGGTATATATGTGCCCACGTGAACATCATAAATATTGCATAATTATTAATAGTAACGTGTCCACGTGGGCACATATATACCTTTAAAATACACTATTAAAAAGTGCAGGGGGTAAAAGGTCCTCCATAAAGTTTGGTATCGTAACAACAATTTCGGCCAAAATTGAAATATTTTTCAGACCCTTTTCCAATGTTTAAAGAAAGTCCATGTGTATATCCTTTTTTTGGGATAATGTATAAGTATCCCTTAAATTATGACTAAAATCTCAGTGACACATTTAAACTTAACTAGGGTCTTATTGTCACTCTAAACTAATCTAAAATAGAATAAACACATCTCAAAAGCCGACTCGATAGAGATAGTATCCACACTCTCTTGAAGGCAAGTGAAGATTGAAAAAACTGGACAAATATTTTTTTTTAATTGGTTTGTTTACAACGACATTAAAACCTATATATTTTTAATGTTAGAAAATTTATTTTCATTTCTTCCTCACTTTAAACTTTTTATTTTTTCTCTTTCACTAATTTGTTATCTTTCACTTTTAATTATGTGCATTTTTTAAAAAAATAAAAAATTAAGAAGTATCCTTTAATTTTTAATGTTTTATTTTTTTTAGATTTTATTTGATTTTCTTCACTTATTTTGATATTGATACGAAATTAACTTATTTTAAATACACGACATTTATGATTAAATTTGAAATCAAATAAAAAGGAAAAACAAAGAATAGGAAAAAAGAAAAAAATAAGTAATGCAGGTAAAAAGAAAATGAAAGAATAAAAGGTTAAAATACAAGAAAATATTTTTTAAAAAATATTTATGTTTATTGACTTTATTTAAATATAAGATAAAAGATATTAAAAGAAATTCTCAATATGTTAAAATTTGACCAAAATATAAAGTTGAAAGCGGTCAAATATGAATTTTTGGTATTAGAAATTAAGGAGAGGAAATAAAAAAAGAAAAAGAAAAAGAAAAAGAAAAGAATATAATTCCGTAAAACAGGCGGTGAGGAGAGAGAAGATGTTTTTAGGAAAATAGAAAGAAAAGAGGTTCACAGTTTTTGTACAGCCTCATCCATCTTCTTTCCCCACCTATCCCCAAACCGCTTCCTCAAAATTCCTTTCATCTCACCAAGACCCTTTTGCTTAGCCTTCTTAATCGGATTCTCTTCTATTTTGTTCAGCTTTTTAATTTATTTTTCATAATTATCTTACATACTTTTTTTCATCAACAAAGATCAACACAAGATTACCGTTTTTTTTTTTTTTTTTTTTTGGGTGTAAATTAAGGTAGGAGTAAACCAAGTTGTAGGTTGTGTTTGCCAGTAAATTATGGGATTGAACGATGTGGATCTTACGGATGACGGCGACGGAGGAGGAGGAGGAGGAGATGTTGGTGGAGGAGAAGATAAGGCATCGGCGGTTTCGTGTTCGATTTGTCTTGAAGCTGTAACCGACAATGGGGATAGATCCTGGTCTAAGCTCCAATGTGGACATCAATTTCATCTTGGTTAGTTCGTCTACCAAATTATTTTTTTAATTAACTAAACGTAATTGGTACTTCTTTGTTTCATAAGCAAGCAAAAAACTTGTTGCTAGTGAAATTCCGCTCTGGATTGTCTGAGATCTGATTATCCCTAAAGTTGTGGACTTCTCTACTTCTTTTCTTTCTCTTGGGAGAGCTTAATTTTGATTTTATGAAGAATTGTTGGTTCATTTTCTGCAATCTCTAACTTAAACAAGGGGGTTGAGTAGGTTTTGGTCTAATTTAGACCACAATTGCCTAGTAGAGACTCATCCTCGTGTATCTGCCAAAAGTGCGACAGCTGGGTAATAGAATTGAATGGACTTCATTATACGATGATGATTATTCCCTTTACTTATTACTTAGGTTAGCAGTTTCCAAACCATGGCATTGCATGCATCAGTTGCCTGGGTGACTTGGGTATGTTTTAAAGCAGCTCAGCGGTTGGAGTTGAAGGTACTGGGTTTCAGCTTAGCTAAATTGAAGAAATACCAAGAATGGCTAGACAGTCTAAGCAATTGTTAACTTGTTCTTTGTCCAATAGAACTCTGTTAAAAAAAATTACAGTTTCAAGGATTTAGCAGAATTCTGTTAGTAAAATTAAAAATTCAAGTATGTTAAAGGAGATTGAGTACTTTATAACTTTGAAAGGAACAAGGAGCAAGAAAGGAGGAGGTCAATCCATAAAGAAAGAAAAAAGAAGTTGATTAATCAAAGGTTAAACTGATTATCATGCCTGTATCGTAAAGATGCAGTCTTTAGACATTACGATGCTAAATAAAAGAACTTCAATCATACTTCTTTGTTTGGGATTGCTCCTGTCCAGTTTTGAGTCTTAAATCTGGGGTCAAGTAGCTGTAACAATGATATGATTGCATGAGATATAGCCAGTTCTATGATTTTTGGATATGAAGAAGGTTTTAGATGAAAACCAGAAAAACTAACACACCAACTATGAAAATCAGGGGATAAAAGGTCTTACTAATCTCTCCTTTTGATATCAACAATTATTGTTGTTGAATGTATTAGGGAGAAGAAGCAGGGTACTATGGAGTGTAGTAACGTATGCTTGTGGCGTTCTTTAATAATTTTTTAATGAGAAGAAAATGTGTGTATTTCATCTTGTTGACAACTTCACATTCTGGCAATTGGTGTGCAGATTGCATTGGTTCTGCCTTTAACATCAAGGGGCAAATGCAGTGTCCCAACTGTCGAAAAATTGAGAAGGGTCAATGGCTATATGCAAGTGGTTGCCGTCCCCTACCGGATTTCAACATGGAAGATTGGGCCCATGATGAAGACCTATATGATCTGAGCTACACTGAAATGGTAAATATGGGTCATCTCTTACCTACTGTTCAGTAATTTAGACAATTTAACCCATAGAAAATATATTAAGAGTTCTGATCTATCTGGTTTTTATGCGGGGTTCACTGGACGTTCCTGTTCCTTTTTCTTTTCCCTGATAAGGAACATTGGGGACATTCCTTTATCTGGACGTCATAAGTTTCTTGTGGATTTTGAATGATGTGGTTCTCCTTCTGGGAACTGATTGAAGATTATTATTGAAGAAGTAGATAGACATGCTTTATCTGACTCACAATTGCCTTTTCTTATGTTCTTGTGTATGTACTTTGTCTGTTTTGGATTGCTTAACTGCTTCAGTCATGGTAGCTGTATTCAGTCACCCAAACCTGTACTGTTGGTTTATTATCTTCTTGTTAACAATAAATGAAGTTCTTTGAGCGTAGAACTGTTGATTTGGTATTCCAAGAAATCTAAACAATCCAAGTAAAATAGTTTTGATATATGAGTTTGCATTCGCTGACTTTGACAATTTAGGTTTATATAAACATTATCATTAATACAAATGGCCTATTGAAGTGTTCTCATGGAGCCTTCTATTAGTTATTTCCTCCTGATTAATAGGATAGACTTTTGTTAAGATGTCCTGTCTGAAGTATTTGTTTGTGTTATTTACAATTTGTGTCTTAGATATGTTATTTGCCTGCACATCTTGTCGACCTGGGTTTGTCTTCACAACTCACATGAAGCAATTAGGATAAATCCATAACACGGGATATCCCGATCTTTCACATTTTTAGAAAGTCATCTACAACAACTTATTGAAAGGCTAAATGTACACTGGATTTCTGAATAATTTGCCTAAAGAATTCCATCAGGTTATGAGGTTTGTAAGACCACATAAGTCTTAGGATTGTCGACAAAGGTGCTCCATATTTTTGTCCATCATAATTACTGATTCTATCTCATCATGAACATCCACTTGAGAACACATTGCCTGTTAGTATGGTAACTGTGTTATATGCATAGCAACTGCGATATATGCACTGGCTGCTACAAAGTTGGATGTGAGGACTTCTCGTTTTTGAATGTAGTTGTCAAATTATTTTTAGGAGCAAGAAACTACTGCAAATGGCATGTGTAAAGTTCCATTTCTCCTGTGCTTCTGCAAAAAAAAAATCTCCATTTCTCCCGAGTCCTGTCAATTGCAACAGAGAACATTAAAAAGAAAATTCCTGTTCGGCTCATGAACATTTGTTATTGCATTAATAGTGCCTAAATGTAGCTTTCGCTTTTCTGCTGCCGTCCTTTTCTTGTGTGATCTGCTTATTGTTGATTGCATTTGTTTTCAAGCCAAATATAAATTTTACTTACTGAATACTTTAATTCCTGTGCGTGGTTTTGCAGTCATTTGGAGTTCACTGGTGTCCGTTTAGTGGATTGACTCGACTACCATCTTCTTATGAGTAAGAACGACTTTACTCTAAATTTTTCTTTTTTACTTTGCCTTCTTTGGGCCGAGCATATCAGTTTTACTTTTTGGGTTGAGATTGATAGTCTTTTTAACCCCCTTTGTGATTTTGTTACTGATAATGTTGCCTCATTAGGGGAGCTTGTAACCTTGAAGTGTCCCTACAACAACATACCCAATGTGATCCCACAAGTGGGGCAATGTTGAAATGTCACTGTTCTGCTTATACAGTCTTTGAAAGAGAATACTGACATCCTTTAGGTGATTTGCTTGGAATTCTGTTAGACCTGTTAATGGAGAAGGTCGATTTCCCGTATCATAAAATATTGAGGTAGATTTTGCCATTTTGGTGTGAAAAAGATATACAACTTGGAAGAAATGTGTTGGTGTGTGTATAGAGATGAGATACTGGCGATACCATGAAATAGTTCATCAGTTCCCCTTACATAGTTGAAGGGAAAATCTTTTGCTTTCCTGCTTCTGTACATATTGTTAATACTAAAGCACTATGCAAGTGCTGTCTTATTTACCTTGTGAAGAGAGATAAAGAGAGAGGACATACTGGTTTCATAAATATATATATATATATATATATATATATATATCGACATGTCAATGAAATTTGCTTCTCCAAAAAAAAAAAAAAAGTTGCTTCTCCCCATCTTGCTAAATATATTACCAGCAGAAGGATAGCAGGTCTGGTAGTGTCCTCTGGGGTGGGGGGGTTAAAAGCAGGATGATTTTTTACCTAACTAGAACTGAGAGCCACATAGATTCTTTACCTTTTGAATTTCGAGTTGAGTTTGAATTCATCTCTTTCTATACTATATTGAGGCTGAGTTTTGAGTTAAGTTTGAATACATTGTGTGAGGTGGAAGTAGTCCTTTCATAGAACATTTTAAATTTTCCTAGATCTGAACACAGGCCTATTTAGCTAGTTTGAGTTCAGGATGGTGATGGGTTTTGCTGTTGGGACTAATTAGCCTCAAGCATCCAAGTAGCTCACTGTTTGCAGAGGCCTTGAAGTATGATATGCCTTTAGATTGTTGCTTTCTTTTTTGATGGGCAAAGAGTTGAGATTATCATTTCTTTTTTTGCCTCATGTGATTCTAGCAAATTTGACATGAGTCAGGATAAGGAATATTATAAGTTCTTAGATTTCAGCATCAATTCAAGTGGATCAAGCTTGTATGCTGAGCCTTCTAAAGGCCCATATACAACAACATACCCAGTGTAATCCCACAAATAGGGTCTGATGTTAGTACATGATTTAAGAGAAAAAGAAGATTGAAGTCTTTTAATTTTCTCAAAAAAATAAATAAAAAATTCTCAAAAAAAGATTGAAGTCTTTTAACTATTAATTAGCATATCAGAGTGAACAAATTATGACACTGATGATGTTCTGCTCTTTCACTGAGTTGTTCCCACTAACTCTGCAGTTGGCACGTTTCTATAGATTGTTGTCCCTAGAATTGGCTGCAATCTGTCTCTAGACTGAAGCTTGGAATTGTACCTCCATAACAGTCCCTTAAAGGAGGAGTCACCTTGGACCTTGAGACTTACATACCAGCTACAAGCTCATTGGCCAATGTGTTTTGTACTTCCACTATTAGAACTGTTTCATTTGGACAATTACTGTTATTAGGGTTTGCAATGCATTGAAGCTTTTCTCAGATGGGCTTGTGTAACACTCCTTCGGTTTTGATGATGTTTTCGACACCATTCTACTAATAATATTAATTTATACAATTGCTTGCAGGTTCCAAATTGAATTCATTTAAGTAATCAAATTTGAACTTTGATGTGATGATTACTCTTATCAAACTACTTATGTTAATTCAGTTTCTTCATTAATGTTTTTTCCACTACCACTTACACTTAGATCATGAATAAGTGAAATCAACATTTTTAATTCTTTCTGCTATATCACATGGGTTGGAGAGTATACATAGGACTTCCATACATCCTAATATTCCATGTGACATTAGAGTTCAACTGCGGATGCTAATACTTCCTGTTCTGTGCCTGCTTGCCAATCGGTGAGCAAACTTTATGTGCCTGCCCTTGAGTTCCCTTTTATTTACACAGAGGAAAACAAAGGGTATCTAGGAGCTAATGATGAGAATAATTCCTCAACTTTCTTGCTGTTGATGGAGTGAGGTTTTTCCCCCTCTTTTCTTGCTTTCGCTGTGTTGTAGATTTTGCTTGTTGTGTGCCTGTTTTTCCCCCTCTTTTCTTGCTTTCGCTGTGTTGTAGATTTTGCTTGTTGTGTGCCTACCACCCCCACCCCCCCACCCCCACCCTCTTTTGCTTCTCTTCATTTATTTTCTAATAATATATAATTCATCTGACCACTGCATTTCACATGCCTGCAGCGAAGGGGAGCTTTCATCTAGTGCATGTAAGATTTCCGACTCTCTGAACTGCTGTGTAGTACCTCTTTTTTGTCAAGCTTCAATAATGAGAGGGTTTTTGTTACTACTTTTGTAGATCACGATCTTCTTGGTCAGCATGCTATATTTGCTGATCACACGGCTGTATCATCTGCTGCTCATCCATGCCCATATATTGCCTATGTTGGAATTCACCCATCATCCTCAAATTCGAGTGGAAGTATCAATGATGGTCCTAATTTTAACAATCACTGGACTAGTCCATCTGTTCCCAACGAGATGCCTGCTTCTTATGCTTTCCCAGGAATGGATGTGCATTATCATAGTTGGGACCATCATTCTTCTTTCCCTATGGCAAACAGTCGTGTTGGTACTGCTGATCAGTCCTCGGTTCCCTCTGTTACTCAGAGAGTTGCCAGAACCAATGCTGATATCCCAAGACCAGGATCTTTTGTCCCTCCATTCCTTGTTGGTCACGGGTATGATATGTGGAATCAAAGGCAATAAATTTGTTTCTGATTAAATAATTATCAAATTCTGATAAATATGGGTACTAGTTTGTACCTCACAAAAAAAAATGTTCCTCCTACATTCCTTTACCTTTTTATTCTGTTTGGATGAGAGGATATAAGGAATGAGGGCTTGGAGTACAGGGCCTAAAATGTAAGAAGAAAAAGGGGTAGAGTTTGAAAAAAGACTTTGAGTTTTTTTTAGAATTCAATTTACTCCTGCTTTAAGATAACTTGAATCAAGTCATTATGTGGTGCTCCTTTTGGAAAATTCAGAGCAAACAAAGTTTTTTTGTTAACTGTTGTTTTTTCCTTTTAATGTGTTTTCCTCAACTACTTGGGAGTGGGGAGGCATGTTGTTTTTGTACTGATATTCAGATTGTGATGTTCATCGCTTTTGCAGTTCTGCTGCCAGAGCTGGGAGTTCAGTTGCCTCACCAATGATACCTCCTTATCCTGGAAGCGTAGCTCGGGCTCGTGACCGTGTTCAAGCTCTTCAAGCATATTTTCAGCAACCAAGTAATTCACCAGCTGTACGCACTCCTGTTATGTCTGCTACTCGACGATCCAACAATCACAGAGGGTTGGCTCAAGTGGGGCCGGCTGCCTCATCATCTGATCAGGCTGGTGGCTTCTACTTCTATCCTTCAAGTTCTTCAGGAAGAAATTTCCAAGAAGCAGAAAATCCAGTATCAAACAGATATCATGCTTGGGAACGGGAACACTTGCCCGCCTTCCCCTTGAGTCAGGTTGACAGAGATCCTATTTGGGGGCCATTTCATCACACAGGTGTTGGATCTGATAGTGGTAGCCGATCTGGCAGCTTCCGCCCAAGGCATGGGTCTGAGAGGATGCCGTCCCAGAACCGGTCATGAACTTGTTGTGCTGTTTTGATGAGAACTGTGATTACTATGAATGAACCCAATTTATGTATGTTTTGAGAAAACGATCTATAATGGTTGGAGTCTTGTCAATTTGGCAGGTTCAAAACTGTTTTGTGGCCATGAAAAGTGATCCCTTTCTGATGGCCATGAGTTGTGTGATGGGACTGTGGCGTCCTCTTGTTTCTGTGCTGTGGGGTATAAATAACATCACAATGTTAATGGCAAAGTTCAAGTTAGTGATTTGCCTCTTTTATCTGCAGTGCTTGGTTACCCATATTTCTGTCATATTAGTAAATGGTTTAAACATTACGCCATTGATGAACCAGTTGAATATAGTTTTGGTCAACAGAACCTGTTGTTCAGATTGGTTCTACGGTTGAAGCACCCCACTGGATCCTTGTAGGGTGACAAAGAATTAAGTGTTGAAGCTATTAGACTCTTTAATTATCTTATATTTAGTGATAATGGTTCTATGGTACATTTTGAATGAAATAATGCTTATATATCACAAGTCTTTTGTGGGAAGAGTCAAACATTAATGTTCAATTATGTCTAGACTTTTGCTGTGATGTTTTTCCACGAACACTGTTTCAACCTTGTGGCATTGCAAATCTTATTGCTTCTAACTACATTTACTACTAGCATTTTGTTTAAAAGTAAAAATTCTTAGTTGAAAGATTTGACATGATCCAAAATAAGAAAAGAGATATTAATTGAAGGGTATTTTACAATGCACAAGTCTCCCAGTTCACTGTGACATATCGTTGCACAAGAAGTTATCAGTGAACTCGTACGTTAAAAAGTCTGAAGGAAATCATAATTTTGCTTAGACTACATTAGCAAGTCTACCAGATGTTGAACTTGAAAAATTTGAAAAAAAATAATTGTGTTCTGTTGAAAGTTGAGATTAGATCAACTTATTTTTAATTTTAAGACATAATCCATAAGATGTCAAGAGAATGAAGCTACATAGAATAATGGAGAATAACGCTATATTTTCAGTGAGCCACAAAGAAAAAATCCTTCAACAGACCATCACATGAATAAATTAGTAACTCATATGCGCAGGCACATCCAAATCTGAATCTATAGAAAATATTGGAGAATCCCAAAGACACTCAAATTGGCTAAATCTAGTATAGTGGGTCTTGTTCTGATGTGGAAAAAATCTTATTAAAAGGCATCTCGGCAAAAGAGGATTGAGAATCATAAGGCGAGACAGACTTAATAAAAGGGTGTGGAGACAACCAGGACAACACTTTTACAGGATATGGGTCTGGACAATCCAAGAGCCTGGCACTAAAACCCAACCGAACTATATTTTTAATCCCTAGTGCCCCTACTACTGCTACAAGTGTTGAAAGAAAGAACATGATTATTATAGTGTTGACGTATCTTTGAAGGGAATTCACTCTGATCGTCTTCGTTCATCGAGTAATAGCTATGAAAGTTGTGATTTTGATTAACAAGTCATTTGTTTGGAATAGCTAGATTCAAGAGGGTGAATCAAACATCTTTTAATATATATAGACAGATATCTAGGTGTGCTCTCATCTTTTTCTTCTTTGGCTTTATGTGTTGTAAAAGGCTCTTATTTATGTGATTAACTCTAATCCCACATCTAGAAAAAATAAAACTAGTTTAAGGTTTAATAGTAATTAGCTGGTTGTAACTAATCGCCGAGCTATATAACGTTGGCTTGTAACCAAGTGGGACATTAAAGTGGTTTGGATGTTTGATAAATGGGCTTCAATGATGCGGGTTCCGTAATCTCTCTACTCTCGACAACATGAGCTGGTAGTACAAAAAAAAAAAAAAACCTTGATTTGGGTTAAGCCTCGAGAGGGCCCCAAAGCTCTGCAGGATGGTGCCACTAGCCTGCATCTTATAGAGATGATTCTTCGGTTTCTGATTAAGCGTGCGTATCAAGTCCAATCAAACATACAACCACTCTTTGTAACTTTAATTGGGTAATATCATACAAATTAGTGAATAAACAAACCAATCAAACATACAACCACAATTGGGTCATATCGTGCAAATTAATGAATAAAGAGAGAACGAAAGGATAAGAATTACAAACTATTTTTACACTAGTCATTCTGTTGGGCATCTCTACTCTCGGCGGCAGAACTGTGCACGCCATGTTGCGCTACAGCTTTACATGGTCCAGATGGTGCCACTAGCCCGCACCTTGCAGAGAAGATTTTTTCGGTTTTGATTAAGTGCCGATTGATCCAATCTAACATACAACTACTTTTTTTAAGTTCAAATAAAACACTTCAAGAAACAATATATAATAAAGTTGTTTTTGGGTCTTTTGATTAAATTGCTCAACAAGATCTAAGAAATATGCAACTAGCTCCATCCCTTTTAGGTACATATGTCATTAGTTCACTAATGAGTACGAAATAATGTAGAGCTTTTACTTGGTTGCCACTAATTTGTGTGGGAGTGGAGTGTCAAGCGATGTTACATTTTGTGGGATCTTTTATCTTTCTTCTTCCGTTTAGTATATATTTTGTGTTGTAGAAAGCAGTATGCTCCCACATCGAGAAAAAACAACATTGGTGTAACATATAAATATAATTAGCCAGATGTTATTTATTGCTGAGTCAGGTAACGTTGGCTTGTAACCAAGTGGGGCATTAAAGTGGTTGAATATTAGATAAATGGCCCAATAATATGCAGAGCCTGACGGACTTCCCTACTCTCGGTAGAAATATGCACGCCACAGCTCTAAATGAGCTGATAGCATTACAAAACTTGTTTCCGGGGTGAATCTCGAGAGGCCCCGACGTTGTGGGAACTAACTAGTGGTCCCAAATGGTATCACCAGCCACACCCCACATCTTACCAGGGATCTTCCTTTGACTTTGATTAAGTTAAGCGTGCATATTGGGTTCAATCTAATATACAATCACTTTTTTGGTGGAAAATGATCCTTGTATCGGCATGTATATTCGATTCAATCTAACCTATAGTTATTTTTCATTTGAATTTTCAGGTAGATTTAACTAAAATATAAACATATAAGGTGGAAAATGATCCTTGTATCGGCATGTATATTCGATTCAATCTAACCTATGATTATTTTTCATTTGAATTTTCAGGTAGATTTAAGTAAAATATTTCAAAGATAAACAGATGAATAAAAAAGATCATTCATTTCAAGTGTTTGACGTATTTTCCACGTGACCAAATATTCTGTTAGATATAATATGCTTAATTTATCGGAAAAAAGAACCTCATAACAAAAGGGAAGGTATTGTGAAGTGTTCATGGAAAAAAAAGTTCTTGAGATGAGTGAGAAAAAAAGACAAGACTCGTGTAATAATTTCATTTGCTCAAGTTTATTTTTTTTGGCATACTTATATTGACAGACTATTATACATCCTAAGTCATAACATTGATATTTAGCTCTTATTTTGAATTTTATGGACAAAATTATCCCAAATATTGCAAAATTGAATGAGGAAGACTATTTGATTGAACAATACTATTTTCTGAGGAACTTCCCTTCATATTCTCAAAAGCAGTCTTGGCAGCAACACCACCCGGCTACCGGTATTTCACAACATTACCACAAATCTCATGGCTTAAACGAAAAACATTTGATAATGGGTGGACTCACTTATAGCAGGCAACAAGTGACAAATCACGGGTCATATGTAACAGATATACATCCTCAAGTTTTACTTAGCAGTTCAAGAAGCATGCATGGCGATTAAACTAGAACAAGTTTCTAAAACGCGCAACTAGCTAGCTAGAATTCAAAGCTCCATTACAACAACTCAAAAGATTTATCCATAGTAAGCACTGCGCTAAAAGCCAGTTCCTTCACATCCTGCAAGTCTGCATACTACTTTATTTTGGCTACAATCTCCGCTTTGTTTCTGTAGAAGTCTCATTCCGATATCCCCTGCATATAACATTCTCAAATGATGAACATGGAAATAGGTCTAATGATGACATGAACGCTACAACCACACAATGACTATTCAATCATACCGAAGAGCGAGAATAGGACAGACTCCTGCTCCTGCTCGGGCTCGGGCTCGGGCTCCTTCCGTGCCTCCTACAAGGTGGCTACAAGGCAGCAAAGATTATGAAAGCATAACTCCTATACATGACTTAATATAGCACAGTTGGAACTTCAATATCCATAAAGAGGAGTTAAAAAGCTAGTGCTACTTACAGGTGAAAGTGGAGATCTGGATCTTGATAGAGATCTGCAAAAACCCCAGAAACAATTCTAGTTAATATCAATAGAATTCTGTGGCCAAAAGGTTCCAGAATGACCTTTCCCAAATGAATCCATGCTATACTTCCACGTCCACAATCATAGTATTTATCAAACAGCTGCCGCAATCTCTAATACCAATCACCCGACGGGAACACATTGAAACAAGAACCATTTGCAACACACTTCCTGGAGGTTGCATGTCCAATTTATGAGAGCCATAACAATACAAATGCCTGCTCCAGCCCCATGCTCTAAAAACAAAATAAGTTTTATTTGTCTATTGGATTGTGTTCCACGAAAGGATTAGCCCCAAAACAACTTGATATATTGTTGTGAGGTAGATCCACCTTAATAACATATTAAAATGCAATTTACCATCCAGAGTTTGTCGGAGATGCTCATCCACTAAATCAGGTTACAGCCACAACCAAACGAGTTGTCTGAATTTGAGCACCATTAACCATCACCTGTCTATATAGCAATTCCCAGATTGCCGCGGAAGCCAGATCTAGAAAATAAAAAAGGCAATCTTCGTAATCATCTTACTAAACCAAAAAGCTGGTCCCCTCTGAAGAAACCCCCCATTCAAAGAACAGATAGACGAAGAAGAGAACAATGGAAAAAGGAAACTGCATCTCAATTCTCCCTGGAATCTTAGAGAACTAGACAAGAAAATTTAGATTCATCCACCAATATTATTGCTTCAGAGTTCTTTCACGATGTCATTCTCTAGTGGTTCTGGAAATCAACTTTTAAGTTGGAAATTCAAATTAAACAAGTCTATCCAATCGTTCAACTAGAAATGCCCAACTTACAAAGTCCTTCCTCATAACTCAATTGACAACCAGAAAATATTCAATGAGAAACTACAAGAAGTCGTGATGGTTACGCCCTGAACTCCATCTCCCCAAGCCCCCCACCCCCTACCCGCAAAAAAAACCCCCATTAAATTCTCCTGATGTTCTCTTCTTTAACCATTCCTCCCCTACACCCAAAACAAGAGGAATTGTGAAAGAGAACAGTGTGTTGCTTTACGAAAAACGTAAAACGATGGCAATCTTTCCTTAACAAAAAGTAGTTGGTATGCGAAGTACAATAGAATTGCTATACAAAAACTTCAAAACACATGGTTCCTGGATACATATAATGCAACGCCAACAACACACCCGGTATAATCCCACAAGTGGGGTTTGAGGAGGGTAGGATGTACGCAAACCTTACCCAACCTTTGGGCACATATAATGCACGACATAATAATCACAAAATACAAACAATTATATAGATAAAAATTAATATATTGCAATTAATTGAAATAATACAAATTAAAGTAAAACCACATAATCAAGTTCAAAACCCCTTTCTTTAAAAAAATAACCTATTTAGATGCAAAATATGCAATTTTAGACATCTAGCTCAGCTTGAGTGACTAGCTTCTTACACTAAGTTCCTAATTTCCTATTTCTAGTCGATTTCAAACTCTTTCCTGACGCTTCTTTGATATCACTTTACAGGCTATATTAATCGTAAAGTGATTATCCTCTTTAATAGAACCCCATCAATTAACTTTAGATCTTATACCAATGCATTTAATTAGCCGGTTTTGGTTAAGACTTGAGACACAATTTAGCAACATACACCATCTGCATTGAACCTTACTTCAAACCTCAAGTGCCTCTAACAACATCGAGGAAAGAATAAAACGTATGAGAAGACTGCAAAAGAAATTTAAATAGATAGACGAACTAGGAACTGTAAAACTAGGCATTCATATGCTTCCACTACTTAGATTCGGAATATTCTAGATTAATAGAAGTGGAGGCATAGAACTACAGAAAATAGATGGTACAAATCCATCAAACTTAAGCACAAAAAGAGAGGTAGGTCACCTCATAGTCCTCATTCTTAAATTCTTAAAGAGGGACATCTCCTTGTATAACTTCTCATCCAGTAAGGACTCGGGTTGACACTGATAACTTGGTGCCTGTAAAACTTCCCACATAACAGACCAGTCTATAACATATAAGCTTCTCTCATTCGTCATTCAAATAGCACCAAATTCCCGATTCTTCATCTATCGACCGCACGATAAGTGTCAAATTCATATCCCTCTCCAAATATATATAATTATATGATCATTGTTATTCCTACGCATTTCCAGTAATTATGATATCCTTCTATAGCTCATGAAAGATAAAGAGAGACACTAGATGTGTACTTCTCCATACATTCTGGCGATACTACCGTGAGTCTTTTCGACTCTACAGATCACTGGAAATGAAGCATCAAAAAAGAAGTGATTGATCAGCTAACCAGACATCACTGCAGGAAATGTAGAAAACAATCCCCTGTGTAGAAAATTGTGAGTAGTCCTTCCTCCAACAAAGGTGTCAATTCTTTAACCAGTCAAAACCATGAAGATAAGAAGAGTTAAAGATGCAAACAACAAAGAGACTCCTGATTCAAAATAGATTTTCCAATATACAGTCAAGCTGCTAGTCCTCATGCAGAATTTCTATCAAACAAGCATAAAAACACCACCAAAGAGGGGATAATGCTCAATTGAAGGAAAACAAGGATCCTAAGAAGAACAATAGCAACCAGACTGCATCTGGCAGACTTACAGAAAGAATTCATAGGGCATGCTCATATGCAATCAAAACATGAAATAGGACTGTTTAAAACCCCATCTTCAAAACATACATGAACACATGATAATTTCGGAAGCATAAAGAATAAATATAAACCTTGATGTGAACCGAAAAAGTACCTTGAATGAGAGCGAGCAGGGGAAAAATCCCTTGAGGGTGAGACAGACACAGAGCGACGAGAGTATTTACCCCTAGGAGATACACTGTCAACTGGATGTTAGAAACATGCTAAATTTTCTGGAGGTGCAAAGATGAAAAGACAGTCGGGAACCAAACCTTCCGCTCTGGCTGCTATAGCTTCGTCGAGGACTCCTGCTTCTTGAGTAACTTCTGCTTCTTGAATAATATGGACTTGGACTCCTGGAATAGCTATGCCTCTTATCATACTTGTCCACCTAAATAGTATATAACTGAGTTAAATTGATGCATGGACACAGCATTGGACCCAGTATTTCTACTAACAACAGAGAACAGACCCTAATATATGCTCGAGAGAATTGATTGCGAAACAGAGAGTCATCAAGTTTCTTTATCTGCAAAAGCAAGAAAGAGGATACATGAGACTGACAGATCATAGAACTTCTTAAACCACAAAAGCATTATTACTACAGAGCAGAAAAAACCAGTGATGATGTTAAAGATAATAAGTAAATTAAAGCCTTCATATAGCCTACCGCATATCTCATATCATCATAGTTGGTATAGTCCACAATCCCTCTCATACCTGCAAAAATAGCAGCAGTTAACATCAACTGCTTCCAGTACAATGTTTAAACATCCTTAAAATTTTGTGCTTTAACTAGAAACAATGGAGGAAAAAAAGACATTTTCCTTTAATTGTTAAAAGCCTTGGCATGAAAGCAATGTACAGAGATCTCGCACCATACAGTGTCTGATTAGGAATTGTTTGTATAACTATATTTCCTGAAGAACTTGCCCTATCCCAAGTAACACTTCGAAGAGCCATGCTTCTCGGGTCTTTCTAAGATACAAAGCACCAGATGATCAATAAGTAACCTGATTGTCTCATGTGTCAATTTGTTATGTTCGGCACTCCTTCAGCAAAAATGTCTAAAATACTATGTTCCAATTTTTTTGTCTTACTTCCTATTTTAGTATATTTTCAAAAAGAACACCATTTACTATATTTAGAATTACTCTTTACATCCATAATCCTAGATGACATATTTAGGACCACAAGATTCAAAGAGCATTTTAGTAAATTAGACACGTCTTTAGTTTAAGATCACGAGATTTAGAAGTCATACATTTTTTAAAACTCCGTGCCAAGTCAAACTAATACAAACAAATTGCAACAGAGGGAGTATAACTTTAAAATAAATGTACATTTCCATCCTTGAGAACATACATGGATGAATCAAACACATCAAGAATTGAATAAATGCAACCATAGAAACTCCCACAATAAAATAACTCACCGTCACGATCTCGGAAAACTTGAGAGAAGCAGACATCTCCAGCTCGTCGCATGTGATCCTAGCAAAACCAAGTAAGAGAAACCACATTGATCCAAAGCTCTAGCAAGTTCACAATTTTTTACTGATCATAACATGACAGCTGTTATAAATTCTAACCTTCAAGTCTTGCCATGAAGCAGAAGATGGTAGTCCAGAGACCAGTACTGAAAATATTTACATTTTAGCAAGCAAGTGAAACCATATGAAATAAGTTAATTTTCAAGGAGGCAAAAATCATGATAACACTATCAAAATCAGACTAACCGCGATAGTCAGAGCGCGTAGAAAATCCACCACGACTCCCACTACTGTAACTACTGTGGCGATCATATGATGATGATCCTCGCCCACCATGTGCAAGTTCAACCTACAAAAATCATAATAAACAACAATATGGTAAAAATATCCGACTTCCAACATCACCACATCACCAAAAGAGGGGGAATGTGAGACAACTAACTCGCAAGCGACACCCATCAAAGTCATAGCCATCACGCCCACGGATGGCATCATCAGCATCACGAGGATCTTCAAACTGGAACATATAAAAAGAATTGACACAATTAGATCTTATCAGAAATTCTGTAGCATAAAGAAACGCATGCAGAAAATTGAGCCATCTGCCGATACAACAAGGGATTGTTTGGTTTAGAGGCCACTTACGCCAGGATTAGTAATGTAAAGATGAATAATGCAAGGATTGCATAATCCGATTATTTCTTGTTGGATATTTAGTTAGATAATATTATATATTAATAGTATATGTGTATAATTTTAAAATATATGCTTGCTTTTAAAAAGAAATTAACTATTATGAATGATATTCAGGCATTTCTAAATCCATGTATTACAGATACCCATATTCTTATTTCTCATTCTATCCCACATAAAATGATTCCCGCATAACTCATGCATGTATTATTTATAACGAAAACAAAAGGGAACAACTAAACAGTGTATTAAGTAATTCTTGTTTTTCTGTGGCGACTGAAATCAAACCCCAATCAAATATTGTGTAAACTAAAGTTGATTTTTATGTGGGGATATATCTCCAAAACCCCTAGCAGAATGATCCCTAAGGGAAAAACTAACATCTTGGTGATTCAATTCTTAGCAAAGAACTCACCTCTACGAACGCATAACCAGGTGGTCTAGGTGGAACTTTCAAATCAATTTCCACAATGGGACCATACTGCAGGAAATCACCGAGAAAATTCAAAAGATTAGCACTTGGCATATGGAAGAAAGGGGCGGTCGGGGGGGCAGCGTTATCAACACAATACTGGTCCAAACAACCAAAAGGTATACATATCAAAAAATCCATAACTTATAATATATCTCAAGGAAACCTACCTAGAAATCAATCAAGAGCAATTACATTACTGACAAATATAATGACAGAAAGACTTTAGCAATAAATTTAAAACATGTCTAATTTATACTACATTGCAAAGTTGTGTGGCTTCTCTATAAGGAAAAGAACACAAAAAGTACCAAATTAGATGACTTTCAGGAGCTACTTGGAAAACTGAAAGGCTGAATGAGTACTGTGACAGTAATAGAAGCTCACTGAATAGGTACGGACCATTGAAGAGATTTAAGCTTAAATAAGGAAAAAACAAGTATTCTCACACTCTAGAAAAGCAAAAAGAGATGACTACGCTTTCATTAGAACATGAATTTGGATGAGACACCTCTTATCACTTTATTAGTCGTACAGGGTTTACTAATCCACTTAAGCACAACTTACACAGAGGCAACCAGATATACACCATATTACAAGAATGAAAACTTGCATTGGTAGCCCCCGCTATCTTTCCCTCTGCGTTAATCAAATTCATTCCTCCTCCAATCCAGCAAAAAGTACAAGTTCTCATGGAAACTATTGGCGCTCTTTTAGGTGGCATTAACGCAAAAGGAGAAACAAATTGAAAGGTAAATGTATAGCTTAGTGATAGCGAGCACATGAAATTGGATTAGTAATTTATCTAACTAACCTTGTAAAACAAATCTTCTACTTCTCTCTCCCGAATATCACCAGGAAGATTTCCGACGTAGATAGTCCGACTTAGACGACCCATATTGCCTGAAATCAATACCCAAAAAAATAAGCAGCTTGTTCAAACATTGGATGTGGTAATGTGGACATTTTTTTTTTAATTTATGTAATAAAGTAAGATTTAAGTGGTAATGTAGACAGTCAAGAACGCAAATAAGAGAAGTTTATTTTCTTTTTGCTTTTTTGGTTTGGAGGGAGGAGGGGCTTACCAGAGTTGACCGTAGCTCATCGGTGAAAGGCCTTGAGGAATGGCCAAACTAAGGAAGGGTTAAACAAAGAAGAAAAGTAAAGTAACATTGCAACAAAATGCAAGAAGATAATCTGGAACTATTAACAGTTCTTGATTTGTTAAAGATAAGCTTCTACATAAAGAATATCGTTACAAACACCAAAATCAAAATGAAGTTTTATATAATAAGAATCAGAGTAGCAAAAACCATAAATTATCAATCTAAATCAATTCTTAAAGATTATACTTGTCAGCAATAGTAGTCACATCAAACATCAGATATACAGAGAAAATCACAAATTCTTGTTTTTTTTCTTTTCAGCATATATGGTACGCCTAAAGTCATTCCTAGTGTTAGGTTGTTCGATGACATTCCATCAAAAAGGGAGAGATAAGTTCCGATCATTTATGTACTCAAGTCATTTTTCTTGCACTTACTATCAAAATGTATACCTAAAAATTTCATCAGAACATCACCAAAATTGTGAATACTATGATTAATCTTTAACTTTAACATATAGTACTACTTTTTAGGGAAAATAGTCATCACGCCAACACCAGAAAACATTTTTTAGGAAATTATTTTCCATTAAAAAAAAATACTCCGTACCAAACACTCAAAGACCGGGAGACAGAAATCAAGAAATTCAACCAAATTCGTTACTGATATATAATCCTTTAGATATTTAAACGGTTCTTATTATAAGTTCTTGATATGATCGCATAAAAAAAACAGTAGAAAAACCCTAAAGATTCTTCAAGAACTACGAAATAAAAAATTATGTTACATAGGAAAACAGAGCTTCGCATAGACAAAACAGAGAAGCCATGAAAAATTATAGTATATAGTTAATTAATTTTACCTAATAAATTGGATTAGGAGAAGAAAAAGAAAAACAGATTACCTTGATGATACAACAACGAGAGGTTGCGTAGAAAGAAAAAAAGGATTAGAGTAGACAAAATAAATACAAATGGCTTTAGAAGATGCGCGGAACTTATTTATAAGGGAGAAAAAACATCGCTATCGTACGCTGTCTAGAAACTTTCCTAAATCTAAACACGTCAATACATAGCATCTGTCCTAGTACACTTTTGAATATTTAATGAAAAAGATAAGCGGAATAAAATATACTTTTCCTATGGTGGTTATTTTTTCCAAGGGAAAAGACATAGATTACCCCTGAACTTGTATCGAAAAGTCAGTTACACGCTTAATATGAAGATCCATTACACATTTTACTACATAAGGGGTCGTTTGGTAGAGTGTATAAGAATAATGCTGAATATGATGTATTAGTAATGCATGCATTAGTAATGCAAGCATTAGTAATGCTTGCATTAGTTATGCTTGCATTATTTCTTATACATTGTTTGGTTTGATGTATTGGAAATAGCAAGCCTTGTATAAAGACTATTAAAAAAATATTTGTTTACAAAAATACCCCCACATTCTTTTACAAAAATAATAATAATAATTATAATAATTATTATTATAATTATATCTATGCCGGATAACTAACTTCTCTTTTATATAGACCATGAATGGATCTAAGCTTTATTTAAATATAGAAGAATTTTAGTATGGCTTCTCGACTTGGTTCCGAGATTGAGGTACAGTCAGATCTAGTACTACTTTTATTGGCTTTGTCTTTATGACTCCGTCTGATGAGCCGTGGTTTTTAGCCTAAAATTGAGTTTGATAAGTAGGGCGTCTCATACCCGGTTAGAACTATCAGACAATAAGCTTAATAAAAGTATGTATTAGCTTCTTGACAGACCCTTTGCTTGGGTAAAAATAATTAAACCATGCAGTCTGAGAAACTATGTTAAAATTCTTGTGTTTTTCGATTCTTATGTTGATACCAACGATACAGGATCACTGATCTGGCGGTAGTCCGCCAGGTCATAGATCAAGCAAGTCAATATCCTTAGAGGTAGTCCAACTACATAAGAATCGAAATACACAAGAATTTTAACATAGTTTCTCAGACTGCATGGTTTAATTATTTTACCCAAACAAAGGGTCTGTCAAGAAGCTAATACATACTTTTATTAAGCTTATTGTCTGATAGTTCTAACCGGGTATGAGACGCCCTACTTATCAAACTCAATTTCAGGCTAAAAACCACGGCTCATCAGACGGAGTCATAAAGACAAAGCCAATAAAAGTAGTACTAGATCTGACTGTACCTCAATCTCGGAACCAAGTCGAGAAGCCATACTAAAATTCTTCTATATTTAAATAAAGCTTAGATCCATTCATGGTCTATATAAAAGAGAAGTTAGTTATCCGGCATAGATATAATTTTTTAGCCGGACATAGTCACGGCTTAATTCAGAAATAAAAACTTGAAAATAAAAGGAAGTACCTTGTAGCAAATAGAACACTTTACTATTCCTCCGGCCAAAGTCCGGTAAGGTTACAATACTTGAAAATATATTACAAGTGGGGAAAGAGAAAGGAAGAAATAAAGAAGGGAAGAGAGTTTCTAAAACCTACTCTTCTTTAAAGAAAAACAAACATATTTATAGAAAAAGAAAGCATCTATGTACAGGATACTGGGCCCCTATCTGGGTCCTGGTAACAGTGTATTTACTGTTGGTGAACAGTGTTGCTACAGTAGTGCGGGCCCACTACCGACGCGCCTAAGCTTTACACTTTGTCTTTTAATTTTGCCAAAAAATCTTCGGCTTTCTTCAATGCATCCACTGGACTTTCTTTTTCATATTGTTGGGCTTCGTGCATATCTTCACTTGTTTCACTACGCATCGAAGAATCTGATTTTGCGTAATGACTTATATTTAGAAGAATCATTTTCTTGACTTCTTCTAGATATCTCATAATCATTTCATTTTGCTCTCCTTCATCATGATTAGAAATTTTTCTAGCCATATGTTTTACGGAGGTCGAGTCATCAGTCATGATTCCTTTATTAGGAATTGATTTATAATCGTGTATGGTTTTCGTAATTAGATCCAGCAGTTCTTGTCCGTATATGGACTTTGTTTGAGGATCTTTCTTCATCAATTTGTCCCAAAAATTATTATAATAAGTTCTGTATAGACAAGGGATTTGTTCCTCAGTAAAATCTACTTCCGGAACCCATTTATGAATCCATGGAACAGAGAATTCTATCAAAAAGTATATCTGTTCAATTTGTTGAAAATAACAAATATGTTCTTGATGATATAATTTGTAAAGATCTGGGGAAACCTTGACCCATTCTTTGTATAACTTGTGAAATGGTTCGGGCAATATTTTTATTGTTGGCCCGTGGTATGACCACCAGTTTAAAAACCAATTTGGTATAGGATTCGCAAATATCTTGGCACATACTTTTATAAACCAAGTATGTTTATGCCTCTCATTGTTATAACAGAGAACTTTATTAAATGCCTGAATATAATCCCAATAGGTAAAGCTTACCATGACTTTGTTTAGACTGAATTGTCTTTCAGTCATTGAGGAAATACCCCAATTTTCAATATGAATGATGTGTTTTATAATCATTTTAGAGAAGTTATAAACATTCTCACTTGTATTATATCCTGAAAAATGTTGAAATTCAACACCTGTGCTTATTAGCAGAGTCTCATAATATTTCCAAGTTTTGTATGACTCACCCGGGAAATAAAGCCCATTAACTAAATACCTCTGGAATATCTTCCAAGGTTCTTCTCTTCTCTGTATGTCAGAGTTTTCTAAGAGAAATATCATTTCTCTTTTTTCTACCTTTTCATATGTTTTGATATCATCAACTTCTTCTTTGGCGATTGAAGCAAAAGAATCACCCTGCTTTTGAGTTATAAACTCCTGTAGTTTAGCATATAATGGATCACTTTCTGGAATATCTTCCAGATGTATTGATGATGAAGCTCTTTCTTGTGCTCTAGAGTGTAAGTTATATAAACTCATTCCTCCCTTTTGTATAATTGGAGTACTAGATGATGAAGATTCGTATGATGATCTTGATGAACTTGGGGATGATCTTCCCCTTCCGCGAGTATAACTGCATTTTCCTCTAGCCTTGGTTATCCAAGGAGGATCCATCCTGCAAACATAGCATTTAGTTTTAATCATTCAAGAAGTTAATCATTCAAGAGGTTATAAACTTCATCACAATAAAATCTTTCATAAAGCTCTTGTTCAATCATGTAATTATTGACAATATCAATCACCATTCCGTCTATAATTTTCCATAATATAAGTTCCTTTAAATCTCTAATAAGAGGAACTGCCTTCAAAATCGTAACCAAATCTTTATCAGGAAAGAAGTCAAGAAAACCCATCAGAAGAAAGATATTCCCTTGATAAGAAGTCTGGGAGAGAGTTATCACTTCCCTTTTTATACTGAATTTCGAAATCAAAAGAGGCTAATTGTGTCTGCCACCTAGCAAAAATTAACTTAGACGCATCATGTTTAAAATCTTTATCAAACATATACTTGACTGACTGAGCATCAGTTTTATCAAAAAATTTTGATTATATAAATCATCTTGAAATTTTAAAACGCACTTAACGATAGTTAACATTTCATGGGCTACCGTCGCATATTTTTTCTGAGCATCGCTCCATTTTCCTGAATGAAATCGAATAAGATATTCATTTTTATCATGCGGATTAATTTGTTTTAATATACCTCCATACCCAATATTAGACGCTTCCGTCTCTACAATCTTTGGCCAAGCAGGATTAGTAAGGGTTAAACAAGGTAAAGATTTAACTCTTTCTTTAATAGTCTTTACAAGATCTGTGAGACTATTGGTCCAAGGCTTTTTATGATCCTTTTTTAGCCTGTCATATAACGGAGCCAAATCTCGAGATAAATTCTTGTAGAATGGGGAAATGTAGTTTAAACTTCCCAGAAACCGTTGCAATTGCGTCTTATCTGTAATAATATCAGGAAATTTTTATGCAAATTCAATAGATCGTTGAATAGGAGTCATTTTTCCTAGACAAATCAAATGCCCCAAAAATCTAACTTCTGTTTGAAAAAGACTCATTTTAGGTTTAGATATAACCAAACCATTTTGAATAACTATTTTCTTAAAAATATCTAAATGCTTAATATGCATTTCAAGAGTCTTAGAGTATACCAAAATATCATCAATATAAACTATGATGAAGTCCAAATAAGGATTGAAAATATCATTCATTATCTTTTGAAATTCTGAGGGAGCATTTTTTAACCCAAAAGGCATTACATTCCATTCGTACTGTCCAAACGGAACATTAAATGCCGTTCTATATGAATGGTCTCTAAATATTTGGATTTGCCAATATCCAGATTTTAAATCAAATTTTGAAAAGATGTTAGCATCATATAATCTGGTTAATAAATCTCTTTTATTAGGAATAGGATATCTAATCCATTTTTAAAATTTATTTAAAGGTTTATAATTTATAACTAACCTTGGAACACCTCGTTCTTTTTCTGCTGCGTTATTAACATAAAAAGCAGTACACGACCATGGTGATTTGAAAGGCTTTATCAATCCCTTTTGTAATAAATTATCAATTTCTTTTTTGCAGAATTCAACCAATTCGGTATTCATCTGACAAGGACGAGATTTGGTAGGAATATTTTCCTCAGAGAAATCATCTTCATATGGAAGAGTTACAATATGCTTTTTCCGATTCCAAAAGGCACTAGGATGATCAGCACAAATATCAATGGCCATTTTTTCAGAAATGAGTTTAATTTTTTCCTGTATTTTAGCAGATTTTAAAGTATCGAATATATTCATACTAAATATCTCAAGTTGTAAATAATCAACATGCTTTTGTTTCATTTCAATTAGAGCATTAATATCTCTAGAAATAGGCTCGGTGATAAAAGTATAACTAATATCTTGATTTTTATAAGTAGCAGAAAATCCTTTAGCATTTATATTAGTAAAAGGGTAAATTGCATTTATAAAAGGAGTTCCT